TTTTTTAACAAACATGTAAAGAATACTCACTGGCAAATGGACATACAGTACTGAGAACACTGGATATCCACAGATTAAAAAAAAAATAGAGGGAGACCCTTGATTCTCACCTTGGACCAAAGACTGCAACATAGTGAAACCCTAAAAAGGCTAGAGAAAAAAGTAGGGGAAGACATGGCAAGGTCCAGGTCCAGGTAAAGACTTCCTAAATAAGACTCTGGTAGCTCAGGAAGTCAGGCCACGAGGACAAAGGAAACATCACAGGACCAAAGGCATCTGTATAGTCAAGGAAACAGCTAACACAGGGAGGAGGCAGCCTGCAGACTTCGCCAGTTACACAAAAGAGGATTGCAATCTAGAATAGAAAAAGAAATAAAAAACCAAACACTAAGAAAACCAACAACCTAAACAAAAATGGGCTGAGGAACTGAGAGGAAGTTTTCAAAGAGGAAATACAAACGGCTAATAAATGTTTTAGAAGTGTTCAGCACTGTTAGCCATCAGGGAAATGCACAGTGTCAATACTCTGAGCTCCTACTTTGCCACTGTCACAATGGTTATCATCCAGGAAAAAAAAAAAAATGACAACGGATGTTGTCCTGGGTGTGGATAAAGAAGAATCCTGCCTGATTCACTGTTGGTGGGTGTGATGTGGGGAAGCCATTGTGGGCATCACTGTGGAGATTTCTCAAAAAACTGAAAACAGAACTGCCACATGACCCAGCTATTCTCCTCTGAGGCATTTACGATAGAGCTGTATGTTCATCCATGAGTACAGCTGTTCTAGACACAATGCCGAGGGAATGGTATCAGCCTAGATATCGACCGACTATTGGTTAGACAATGAAGTTGCAGTGCACATACTCAGTAGAATTTTATTTAGCTGTAAAGTACAATGGAATTATTTACAGAAAAATGTACAGAATTGTAAAATACTATATATGAGATGAGGTAATTTAGGCCCTGAAAGACAGAAGCCACGTGTTCTCCATTATATGTGGATCTTAACTTATAATTTTTAATACAAGTGTAGAGTAAGGAAAGGTAGAAGCCAAAAAATTAGAAAGGGCCCCTGTAACAGGAGAAAAATTACTTTCATTAAATAAAACAAAACAAAAACAACAAAACACAAAGAATCAAAACACCCAAAAAGCTGAATCACAGTAGGTATGGCCACATGTCAAAATAGATGAATCTGGAGGATATTAGGCCAAGTTAAGTAAGTCGGTCAACAAAAGGTGAAATGCATGGTTCCCTTCCCCAGCAGGAGTTAGAAGGCCAGATTCACACTGTTAGGAGCAGAATGTGGCTGCCATTTGACTGATGTAGGGTCTTTTCTATGAGGTGAAGTTATGGCATATGCTTAACAATAATATCAGCCTATTTAATAATATATAACTATGAACTTAAAGTGGTAAAATTTTAGTGTGTGTGTGTGTGTGTGTGTGTGTGTGTGTGTGTGTGTGTGTGTGTGTGTAAGAAGGGAAATAAGAGGAAACCAGGCACGTAGGCATCTATCTACCTTGTCAAAGAATATGTAATTCTATCAGGGTCAACAAGATGTTTCATTCTACTTTAGAAGATGAGAAAGAACAGCTTCAAGTATTACTAGGCTGCCAGAGGCCACGCAGCTCTAACAGTATTCAAACATAGTCACCTGAATTAATGAGCGGCCGTCTGTTACAAAGCTTTGCTGTCTTAGAAGACTGTATAAAAGCCTAGCCTGTCTCTGCAAGAACCCGTTGACTTTGTCTACCATGCCAATTTACACGGAACAATAATCCCTCACTGGGTATTTTTGATTCTTATCACCTTACATAATTGAGTTCTTCCAACATCAGTCATGCAAGCCTTACCAGCCCTTATCAACAGATGTTAGAACTCAGTCTGGGAAAGACTGTTTCAAGTAAAAAGCCTCAGTGTTGAAGTTTCCTTTGCAATGTATATCTCAGTATCTCAGAGTTTCTCACTCATGCCATCAGACCCACTTATGACATTAAATCTTATGAATGCTTATGATTATCCTTATGTCTCGTTACTTTAAGTTTCCATTTAATACATTCTGTTTCAGTATAAAGGGAAGGGCACAAAGATTGTGTTTGGGTTAAATGTTCAGTCAATACAAAGCATCAAACACCTACTATAAAACTGAACTGATGATGGCATTAAAGCCCATTAATGCATTTATTAGATTAAAATCTAAGGAGAAGTTGACAATGATAAGAGCATTAGAGTATACTTTGAAAAATTAAACTGGATTACCAGCTAGCTGGGGAAGAGAGTTTCACCCTTTTCAGTTGGTGTTATGAGAAAACATGGGTCTATATGTGAAACAAAAGTAGCCAAGAAACAGGAGTGCTGTGGGATGGTCTGTATGTCAAATGTGTTGCTGATTGGTCAATAAATAAATCACTGATTGGCCCGTGGCCAGGCAGGAAGTATAGGCGGGACAAGGAGGAGAATAGAGCTGGGAAGTGGAAGGCTGAGTGAGAGAGACACTGCCAGCCGCCATCAGGACAAGGAAGATGTAAAGTACCGGTAAGCCACAAGCCACGTGGCAAGGTATAGATTAATAGAAATGGATTAATTTAAGCTGTAAGAACAGTTAGCAAGAAGCCTGCCACGGCCATACAGTTTGTAACCAATATAAGTCTCTGTGTTTACTTGATCGGGTTTGAGCGGCTTGGGACTGGCGGGTGAGAGAGATTTGCCCTGACTGTGGGCCAGGCAGGAAAACTCTAGCTACACAGGAGTCACTCCTGTTTCTCAGGTGCCACCAGCTAATAGTTTCATGGGGGTTATCTGCATGTGAACCACATCGGTAAACAAAAAGCTTCCATTCTCTCTGTGGCTGGTGATAAAACCCACCTCATGAGACATTTATATTGTATTAAATGTTAAAAGCACCAAATCTTAAGAAATCTCTACAAAGTACATAGGGGAACATGGCATGTGTTAGCATGGCTTTACTGTATCTCATTCAGTGTTTAATTGTTGAAAAATAAACCACCAAATTATCTGAAGATGTTTCTGTGCATTTAGAACTAGGGCTATTTTTCTTTTTTTTTTTCTTTTTTTTGTACTTAAGCTCTTTCTTTTTTAAATTTTTTTTATTTTTATTTTGAAATACAATTCAGTTCTACATATCAGCCACGGATTCCCTTGTTCTCCCCCCTCCCTCCCCCCTCACCTTCTCCCCAGCCCACCCCCCATTCCCATCTCCTCCAGGGCAAAGCCTCCCCTGCGGACTGAGATCAGCCTGGTAGACTCAGTCCAGGCAGGTCCAGTCCCCTCCTCCCAGGCCGAACCAAGCACTCCTGCATAGGCCCCAGGTTTCAAACAGCCGACTCACGCAATGAGCACAGGACCCGGTCCCACTGCCTGGATGCCTCCCAAACAGATCAAGCCAATCAACTGTCTCACCCATTCAGAGGGCCTGATCCAGTTGGGGGTCCCTCAGCCATTGGTTCATAGTTCATGTGTTTCCATTTGTTTGGCTATTTGTCCCTGTGCTTTATCCAACCTTGGTCTCAACAATTCTTGCTCATATAAACCCTCCTCATTCTTGCTAATTGGACTCCCCCTAATTGTCGTGCTAGAAACCCCATCCAACTACTGAGGGATCTGGATGCAGAGATCCATGGCTAGGCCCCGGGTGGATCTCTGGGAGTCCAATTAGGGCTATTTTTCATAGAGAGCAACATGTTTACAGCAAGAGTTGGCACTGATAGACCTGAATCCAAAGAAGGCACAAACATCACATGCTACATGTAAAATATAGAAAGTGGCACCAGGCTAAAAGGACGATGGTAGTTTGATAATCCTTGATAGCCTCAGAATGTTAAAAAATAAGGAGTTAATAAATAATAGCAAGCCAGGTATGGGGTACAGATTGTAACCCAGTACTTAGAAAGCTGAAGCAGGGGCATTAAGAGCTCTAGCCTGAGGTTCAGAGAGAGACTCTATCACAAACAATAAATACAGATAAGTCAAAAATGACAGATGAAGTCATTATCTAACTAATGTTAAGGAAGCAGAGAACATAAACTAATAAGCTAATACCACTTTTTAAAAGTTATTTTATTTATTTAAAGTAGAAAGCAGAAAGAGGAGATTTATTCAATGTGGTCCTGTGGGAGGAGAGACCAAGAGATCCAGTGATTCCCCCAGGTCTGCCTTCAGGGTCTTGAAGTGAGAAAAAAATTGAAATAGAGGGTGAGGAATATACACATCTAAAACATCCCATTCAAGGTGAGGCCTTGTAATGAAACAGTCAATGTTCTACAGAACTACAGATTCGGACACAGGAACCTGAACATTTTGCAATGCCAGAACATAACCCACAGCACAAGCAGAATAGACTTCAGTTATGCCTGACCTAAAAGCTATTCCTTCTATACTTTAGTTGTCTAAAATGGTGTAAAGTGTTTGTTAGCACTAAATGATTAATATTTGTCACTTACCACCCACTTAATGTGGGATCAAATCAGACCATTGAATGTGGATCTTTCTCTGGCATCATAGAACAATGGAGAACAAACCACCAAATGGTTAATCAGCAATGACTTTAAAAAAATACCATACTTTTATTATAAAAGGATGGGCTGTATCAGTGGACATGCCATTTTGAAAAATAACACTTTCTGTACATTCCATGATACTGCAATCATGAATTTTTTTGGATGATCTTGGAAGGCACATATTCAAATCACATGCCTGGGAATTGCTTAGGCTGTTCTCTGAAGTCTTGTCAATGCAACAAAGCATTTCAAACCCTGGACTGTCCTCAATCTAATGTCCATATTACTTGAAGGTATTTTCAGAACCTTTACCTACTTCCAATGATGCTCTACAGCTTGGGAAAAGAGCAAGACAATTAGCATGAAGAAAGTGATTTTGAAACTTCACTCAATCTGAATGTTGTAATAACTTAAATGGCTCAGTCAAACTAAGATTACAATTCTATGGAGATAAATCTATAAAGAAACAAAATCCATTACTCTGTGAGGTCTTCTATCTTCTTCTCCACTAACGTAGGTGGTACATTGGAGACAATGACCTGCATATCCAGCTGATTGACCACCGATACCTGAGAAGGGAAAACAGAACATATTTAAGTCCTGATCATGGAAATTTCTACTTTAAGTATTAATATTGTCTGTTCCCTAATATCTGTAGAATTTGTTGTTTCTTGTTTTTAACTCATTGTCAGATGATTTTTTTTGAAGAATTATGTATTTTCCTATTGGCATTAGGAATAAACCACTATTGGGAGTACTTGCTATGGACCCAGAAATTACATGCTAAGAGGATTTCATTATTTTGGCTTTGAGTCTGCTTTTTAAAACTCTGTGATGACTGTGGTGGTTTGAAATCATGTTTGAATGCTTAGTCACCAGGGAGTAGAGCCCTTTGAAAGATTAGAAGGTGTGGATTTGTTGAAGGAAATATGACACTGGGGGTGGGCTTAGAAGTTTCAAAAGCCTATGGTAGGCCCAGAGTCTATCTGTCTGTCTGTCTGTCTCTCTGTCTGTCTCTGCCTATGGATCAGGATGTAGCTCTTAGCTATTGTTCCAGTGTCTGCCTGCATGCTGTCATATTCTCCACCATAAGTGACTAAACCTCTGAAACTGTGAGCCAACCTCCAATGAAATGCTTCCTCTTCTAACAGTTGCCATGGTCATGGTGTCTCTTTATAGCAATAGAAGAGTGACTAAGGCAATGACAACAGGAATGGAGTTTTGTTGTACTTGATTTCATCAGTAAGGCACACCCAGCATAACAGGCATACACTCTTTAGGATTTGAAAACCTCAGCAGATAATTTACTCATTGCAACTGGTATTCTGAGGTAAAACAGGGTAGAATGTCTAATTCCACAGGATTCTCAATACAGTCTCCTTGTCTATTTTGTCAACTGTAATCTGGAGATGCATGCATACAAATCTACAGTAGAACTAATATGAGCTATTTTAGCAATAGTTGATGGATATGTTGTATTCATTTAGCACTCAATGAGTTCCTTCTATTATTATATAAAATAAAAGAAGTAATTCCATGCTGACTACATTCTATTTTATTTTTCTTCAGAACTCTACAGGTTTCAACTTTATCATCAACTATCACAAGTAGTTATTGATATTATTCCCATTTAAATATGAAAACTATAAAAAACCTGGAATATTTGTTGTGTGATTGTGTTGTCTAGTTTTATGTCAGCTTGACACAAGCTAGAGTCACCTCAGAGAAGGTAACCTCAGTTGAGGAACTGCCTCCATAAAATTGGTCTGTAGGCAAGCCTGTAGGGCATTTTATTCATTAGTGATTGATGTGGGAGGCCCAGTTCATTGTGGGTACTACCATTCCTGGGCTTGTGGATCTGGGTGATAAAAGAAAGCAGGCTGAGCAAACCATAAGGAGCAAGTCAGTAGCAGCACCCCTCCATGGTATCTGCATCAGCTTCTGCCTCCAGATTCCTACAGGCTTTGAGTTCCTGCCTTGTCTTCCTTCAATGGACTGTGATTCCAGGTATTTAGCTTGTAAACTAAATCCTTTACTCTTCAAGTTACTTTTGGCCACAGTGTTTTATCACAGCAATAGTATCCCTAACTAGGACAGAGATCAAAGCTTGTGCCATAGCCATAGTTTAATAATCAATCCTGTTTAAGTGAGAGTTGTGTGGCTCCATAGCTTGTACACGCTTAACTGTTGCCAAATAATTTACACAAGAATGTGAAGTCAAATCTTGAACAATCCTTTACATGTCCATGTGCTCCTACAGTAGTATTAGTGCATGTACACCAGAACCATAAATTGGACACTCTGGGTTGGTTATAGTTAGCACAGAATATATCAACATGATTTATGATAGGGAATACATTCATGCTGCCATATAATTCTTATATTGGCTCCAAGTTATCTATATGCTTTTACTCATAGATGGGGTTAAAAAGCCTCAAGGAATCAGACAGGAAATTTAAATAACAACAGTAGACAAGAGAATAATTGACAGGAAGTAGTAGAAGTCTGCAATCTGAGGGCACACACTGCTTTGAAAGGGCCAGGCTCTGCTGGCTTCCCCTGAGCAGTGCCAAGTGGGAAAAGCAGTCTAGACATGCTGTATCACTTAGATTTCCAAGAAAATAAGTCCAAAATATTACAGAAAATGTTCACAACTCATTAGGAGACTGTTTGAATTTAGTGTGAGTCTAATATTGTGTGAGGCTAATAAATCTTCTCAAAGTCTGTATTAGGAATCCGTTTGATACATCCACAGGCAAAGCAGTGGGCACTGGCAGTTTGAACTCTCCTTCTCACTCATTATAGATAGGTGGACCCCATGCACAGAATTTTTTTTTATTGTTATTGAGTTTTTAGCATCTAGACTTGACAGAATGAGCAGCACGTGATGCTGACAGTTTGGATTCGGGGGTCAAGTTTAATTGATAGACTCTGCTTTATGTAGGGAAAGAAAATGAGCCGGTTGTGGTGGTGCATGCCAGTAGGATTTGTTGAAGGAGGCAGAGGCAGGAGGATCATGAGTTCGAAGCCAGCCTGGGCTACACATTTAAAAAAAAAAAAAGAAGAAAATCACACTTGGTAATCAGGCATATCTTCTGGTGGCCGTCCATCTGGATGTTTCTGTTTTCCAGCTGGGAACACAGCAGGAATGGATTTCCCAGGTTAGGGAGGCCATGGGATAAAATTAGAGGGATGTAAGCACCGTGGAAGAGACCGTAGTGCTTTTTGTTTCTACCTCCCCATCAGAATAAAGAAGCCATTGAAAGGGCAGAAACATGGGTCTGAAAGAGCCTAAGTCAGTAAGACCCCCAACTCCTATTGCAGGAAAGCTACCAAGAAACCAATAAAAACTTAGCTCTTATTTTTATATCTTGAGAGGGCTTTAGTTATGACGGCTATGCTCCTAGAATTTTGGAGATTTTTGGAATACAGTCTTTCTATTGTCATAAATATCTAAGATCTTTTGCATAATAAATCTATCTAAGATTTCTACATGCTCAGTAGAGTCTCACAGAGGGCAAGGAAACATTATCATGTTAGCAGTGTATGGGTTCCGAGAAGTTGTAGACTTTGCATTTAAATATATGTGTTCTGCTTTTCTGTAGCTTCCCTCCGAGTAAATGTTCAGAATGCAGAGACTAGTGGTGTGGGAGGACCTTCATTGGAAAGCTAAATTTGGCCAGAGAGATACATGTGACTCTATCATTTGTCATCTAAGGATATACACTGGATCCTTATCATTCATAAGGACAATTAACTTACCAAAAGGGATTTTCATTTGTTAGAAAGGTTTGGGCTGATTTTGATTGCACCAGATGACAAAGAAATAAGGTTTCAGGTCCCTGGAATCCGCATGTATTACACTTACAACTTAAATATTATTATCTTGACAAATTTTGAAAAAAAAATTCTTAGGGCATAGAAGAAATATAGGTAAGGGATTAACAAATTGCACATAAGAAGAACAATTGTCTTCTAGATATAAGGAACAATTCTCTTATAGGTATAAAGAGCAGTTACTTTGTAGCTGTAAAGCCTGGGCTCAATTCTTATCACTGGACAAGAATATACATCTATTTTTAATAAATTAAGAGTATATATCTATTTCTGATAAGTTAATAAATTTAGGCTGCCATAACTCTATAATTGGTTGGCTCTGCCTTACCTTTGAACAGGTATTTTAAATTTTTGAATAGCTGATGTTGAACAGAGCGCAAATATTTTTACTATTCATATGAGAAGAATAATACATTATAGCTTAGGTTAGGTTTTAGTCTTTAAACAAATCCTGGATTCTGAATTTTGCTTTTTTCAGCATCCACACCAAGCATATATAAGCAATTAAGAGCATAACATTTATCTTAATTCTCCATTGCAATCACTATGTAAATATTTCCAGAAATTTATAATTTATTGTATCATAATTTAAAAATATCCTTATATAATTGCTTGATTTTTCTCTCTTTTGTCTGATTTCAAATATTGCATAAATATTCATTTATATCACTGTTAGAGATGCTTTGAGTGATAGAGTAAAATTAATAAATGTGATCAAAATAAAGAGAAGTATATGACTTACAAAGGTCTAATGACAGAGTTTCACTATGTACTAGGTCCTTTCTTATGAACCATTTTCTTTACCTCCCCACTCATTCCTATGAAATTCAACATTGCCATTTTATCTAACATGCACAAAATCACCAATAACTGACCCTATATAATTTTAAATTCCCTGGGATCCACATCAGAAAGATAAATGCTAGCAAAATTGTTTTAGTCATGTTTTAACCAAGCATTTAAAAATAGTTCAACACATGTTTAACACAATCCCAGCATGCAATCAATATAAAACACCTCAACTCCTCATGGAGACCCTTGACTTTATTCACAGAGTCTTTGGAATTCAGTTTCATCTCAAACTCACAGCAGACCTCAATGTGGCCCAGAGCAGGTCTGGGTGTGGCACCTACACAAGGCCAATAGCTGGTGTTTGTACACACTTGTTCTCTCCTCATGGAACGTAACTGTCCTTCACAACTGGACTTGGCTATGACCTTACTTCTCATGAAATGAATGGAGTGGGCTAAGAGTCTTTTAGGGAAACTGTATATTCTTCTTTGATATTGCACCAGAATTCGAATGTTAGTTTACACAACCCTGGATTCCATTTGAGATCTGAAGCAATGATTACAAATATGAAAGTCTATTTGCTTTTTTCTTGTATTTTTATGATTTTTTGTTTGTACTTCAAATTAATATTTGGCTACTTCTGTTTTTGACCACAGTCTCACATAACCCAGACTGGGCTTGAACTCTGTGTGTAGTTGAAATTGGCCTTGAATGTTCGATTTTCATGCCACCCAGCTCCAAAAGTGAAATTACAGGAGTGTACTTTCATACTCGACTCCATGAATGCATTTCAACATGTTGTCTTTGCCATTTGGATAATATTAGTTCATATTTTTCAAATACTGACACATTTCATTACACAGCATGAAAAAAGAAATGTTTTTTAATACGAGCACCAATCTCACCAGACGATCTCATAGTCATTGGATAATGGGAATTTGTCAAGTTCACAGTGGGGAAGACAAGCTTTCCAGTGCTGTGATTTCAATTGGAGAGCTCCAACGCCATCTGTCATCAGGAGCAAGTACTGCCAGTTGGGATCCTCGAAATGAAAGCCTTACTTCATTCATTTTTTTATAAATGCCTTCTGAATACTCAGCTTGAATAAACATATTTTGTCTCTAAGTTGTTCCTTAAAATAAAAATATCTATTCTATGAAAAACTGGGTAGTTCAATTTGAATCATGTTTTTCTTGAGACAACCACAATTTCTTATTATATTTTAATTCATCATACAAAATATTTAAAGATGTTGTTTTTGATAGCTAGATGTGATTATTGGGAAGATAGAAAGTATGTATGTAGGTAGATAGACAGATAGATAAGTAGGTAGATAGATAGTGTCTGGTACTCAGGAATAAGCTCTGAGGTTTGAACATTTTTATTTACTACTTAGATGGTGTTTTAAAGTTATGGTACCAAAAAACTTGCCAAGTCAGTGAGAGATGACAAGAAAGAGAATTAGCCTGAGCCTTGTAAAGCAAAAATGCTACCAGATGAGAACAAAATAAACCAGGAAAAGAAAAGAAGAAGTTATGAGTGATGTGGTAAACAAGCCAAAGGTGAGAGCCTGAAGTCTACTAGACAATGAAAGTAAGCATGCATTGTGTACATTGTCTCAGACAGTGTCAGCATGGGCACTGATCCAGCCAAAGGAGATTCAGAATTCTATGGCTTTTCCAAAGGAGCACAATATAAATAATGATGTGGTTGCATATTGACTAGACCATTCTGCTGGCTGCAGAATGGGTAAAGCGGCTGTGAGGGTTTATCTAAGTTGAGAGTGGGATGGTATATGAGCATAGTGGTCAATGAAGTTAGTGGAGTCCACCTGCCCTGACCACGAGCTTGCTGTGCAGTTGCTTGGGAAGCCAGATAATATAAAACACAAGAACAAAAAAAATGTTTCTCTCTCTGGTTCTTTCCTCCCAAGTAGACATGTTTTTATGGACAAATATTCCAGGTGCTTTGACTCTGCACACTGACACTTGCTCCCATAACACTCCAAGGATTCTCAGGGCCAGGTGCTGCATTGTTAGCCTTCCCAGTTCTGATGCTTCAATCTTCTTAGACTAGGGTATTTTGTCACCTTTTCTGGCTTCCCACCATGCAGACTGGCAATATGGGACTTTTCAGCCTCAATAGGCCTGTGAATCAATGTAGTCAATCCACCAACTTTGTTTCCTTAGAGATCATGAGTAAGGAATACATAAGGAAAGGAAGTTAATTTTTATATCATGGGCCATTCATTTTAATTGATAAAGTATTATGTATTTGGTAATTAAGTATGGGGAACATGTAGGTTTCTCATAAGAGAATGTATGAGAAGGAAGCAATTCAGTTAGGCAGATTGCATGTCCTGCTGGGAACAAGAATGCTGAGTGTGTCTGGATACATTTTATATTGTGATTAAGGGCGGAAGGTTCAAAGTGGAAGTTTAGGGGCAATAGTACAGGTAACTGTGGCTTCCAATGATGAGAAAGTGTAGAGGGCAGAGTCATTAAGGGATGGAGCTCAAGGAAATGTGACTGTGGAACATTGGAAGAATAACCTCATTAAAAAAAAAAAGGAAGATGTTGCCAAAAATAAGTCAGGAGAGCTGGAAATAAGAAGCCAAGCTAACTAAGCTTCCTTAAGGTATGGAGGGGGAATCACGAGGGTGGAGGTTGGACTCTGAGGAAGGAGTAAGGATTGAGAAGTGACCACGCTTGGGTAGCATGAGAACATGACAGACAGATGAGCAAAGACTCCACATGAACTAAAGCCCTCCCCTGAGAAAGCAACAGTAAGAAACGGTGTAAAAAGTGCCTCATCTAACATGAGGATCATTACCTTCTCCTCTTACTAATCATCTTCAGTGACTACCCGTTGCTTTAGCACACAGTTCCAGGGTAGTTCATGTGGCTTTCATGTCTCATCTAAACCACCGACTTCTCTAGCCCCACTCATCACCCAAGCTCCCTCTCATGCTCTGTAGACAGAGTGAATAACCATCTCTTACTCACTCAACCTTGTCTTCATCTTGGTTTTGGCATCTATCATCATCACACCCTCTGCACATGGACTTTATTTGGCCTTTCTCTTAACTAAAAAGATTGCATGCATTACTATAAAAATCATTTTTGAAATGACTTCTCTGATGCCATTTGCTCGTTATAGAAATATATATAAAAATAAAACACATTGTGATTTCTTTAGATGAATTTGTCTCTTCATAAATATATAAATATTTAATAAGTATCCAGATAAAAGTAAATACATATGATTTAAGCACATGGTTTATAATTTCTATATAATTATTTTGAATTTAAAAAAAGCATGAACTTTACATTGTTCACATCTCACTACTGAATCCTATTCACATTATACATAATGGTTATTTATATTTGCTTGTGTCTATTTTATAATATCTTATTTATACTTAATACACTGACCTTACTGTTTAGCCCTTAAGCCCCACAATGTAAATATTCTAACTAACAAGAAGGGAAAAAAGTACACTATCTGATATAAGGTTTATAGGCCTCTATTTGGTCAAAAAAACTATGTCACCCATAACATCTAATATGTCAAGACTTCTTGGCTAATATTGACCTGCTTTTACTACAATGGACCTTTCTGTTTTGAAGGAAAGTACTGTCAACATTGAAAAATTGATGTATGTTGGTGTATGTATGGTAACTGGGGTTTTTCACCACCAAAGGAAAAAAATTTATCCCTAATGCCTACATGTAGATAAAAGTTAACTAAATGAGAGCTGAACAAGTTGTGCAACTTACTAGGACATACAAGGGGATAGATGGATTTTACTTGATTCTTTCTTGATATGATAGATGCTCAATAATCACCCCACTTATAACTGTTATTAGTTTCATCAGAGAAAAATCCAAACAACCTCCATATCCAAGTTAGAAGAGATGTGTACTTTGATGTTAGATATTTTTGTTAAAGTTAGAATCCAATTGCCCTTGAGATGATCTACCCCTGAAGCTGTATTCAGCCTGAGAGAAAGAAAAGACAGAAATACTCTTTTATAGAGACACATGTAACACAGTGAAGCATCATCTCTACCATCATTGGAGGTTCTGCTCTAAAAGGAAAATCACATATATTGGAATACGTTACAACAAAATGTTTTCTGTTTTTTAATTACAAAGGCCAAACATCTTGATGAAAATTTAATGACATTTATATTTCAGAGAGTCTATTTCAAAGTAGTATTAAAAGTGTTGATAGCTACAACACTGGCCCCAGGCTAGAGTCTCATGTCCCTCCCTCATGCACTTACCAGCACGTCAGCTTTCCCACTCAACCCCTTCCCGTAGTCGTCAGTTGCAATCACTTGAAATTTGAAGTAGGATCTCCTCATGTTGTGGAAGAGCATGGCTGTCTTGATGAGTCCTGTGTATGTTTCCACCACAAACCCCTCTTTGCCCTCTTTAATGGGTGGTATGATGAGCCTGTAGGCCATGGCACTATAGTTTCCTGTGTCCCTGTCGGTAGCCTAGGAGGGAAAAACCAGATGATAAATCATCAGTGAGAAAGAAAGAAGAAAAAGCTTGCAGCTGGAAAGCTTATTTCCGCTTCCAAGGCTACTTGTGTAATAGCACAGTACATTTCTCCTAAAATTCCATTTCTTTGAATATCATTATGCAGATGCGGAAGACACATCTGCATAACAAATAGTTCTCATCAGAAATGATCCTGGCCCCAGGACAGTTGTTACAAAAGACCAGGAGCCAATCAATCAATTTTTATCTGTCAGGATGATTTCAAACTTAGGCTATGGATCCAAACTATGGGAACTATGGGCTACTTGAAGAACATCATCTCAGGGCTATGGGTTTTTTGTTTGTTTGTTTTCAGATTGGTCAGGGATTTTTTTTTTGTAATTATAAATTCTTTTCTACAGAGTTTTTCATTAATATATTTTGGTCATGTTTTCCTCTCCCCCAACTCCTACCTCCCTATCCATGCAACTTCCTGTTTTTTTGTCCCTCTCTCCAAAACGAAACAAAACCAAAACAAAAGAAAAATCAAAACAAACAAAAACCACATTTTTGACTTAACATACAGCCTAAGGGGTAGGAGATATAAACTACTGTACAATGACATATCAAATCAAAGTCAAACATCATAGTTTTAAGCAAATACATTTATGGATATATGAGTGAGTGCTGTCTAGCTTCTATTCTAGCAAGATGAGAATAAGATAGATGCCAACTCTCTCTTTTGTGATCCTCCTGGGTTAACAAGGTATCTGGTGATAGAGTGACAGAGTACAGGCTTAAATTTCTTATCATTTAGGTTTAAAAAGGGATAACTACTCAGATTTTCCATTTTTTCTTAAAAATGGCTGTGAACCAAATATGATTTGCATGGGTTCTATGGCTTCTATTTAAGGGAAAGTTTTCAAAATGTCAGCTTCAGAATTATTTCAAAGCAAATCACTCAGAAAAGATATGGTTGAGGCTGGAGAGGTTCTCAGCACAGAAGAGCACTGGCTGCTCTTCCAGAGCGTCCAGGTTCAGTTCCCAGCACCCATATGATTGCTCACAATCAGCTGTAACTCCATTTTTCAGGACATCTGATGCCCTCTTACATCCTCTGCAGGCACTAGGCATGCAAGTAGTGTGTAGACATGCATGCAGGCAAAACACCCATATACATAACATTAAAAATATTTTTAAAACAATTTATGGGCTTTATTATAAAAATAACTTGAAATAAATAAATATATCATATGCTCCAATTAACCAGACCCCAAATCCATACATTCCAATTAACTTTTATACAGTTAGAACAAGGCATTTGGAATGGAAGCTGTGAAACTTCACATTAAGTTTTCAACTTTTGATATTGAACATGTAACAAAAAAGGCTAAATACAAGAGAATGAAAAAGGAGCAAATGTAGGTAATGTATACGAGCTACAAGAGAGGATACAAAGCTAACTGTTTCTCTAGTTCTAATTTTGTCATGAATTATTTTTTGTTTTGGGTAGTGCATAAGGAAATAAAATGTATTCAATACTGAAAATATATTAAAAAATGGTGGATAAGGGAATTGGATAATGCCATCAGGCTGTATGTAAATTATTCAGGATATTACATCTTTCATATTTCCATTCCCATTTTTTAGCATTATTTTCCATTACATACATTACACAGTCACTCTTATATCATTGCTTAATTTAAAACATCATATATTAAACATTTTTAATTTGCATTAAAACTCTAAGAGCTGTACTAAAGTAATTTAAATAGTAAGAAAAATATTGCTGAGGAAGCTACTGTTACAATTTTATAGATTAGTGATGTCTAATAGAAGGTTCTGGGTGCTGATAGAAACCATCCCAGTATGTCTGATCCTCACAGCAGAAATCAGCCATATACGACCACCGAGAATTTGAAATGAGGCTAAGGCGGCAAAAGAACTGGGATTCTGATTTGACCTAACTTAATCACATGAGTGGTAGTGTTGGTATATAGACAGTGACAAGAATACGTAAAAGCCCACATACAGTAAGGTATAGTATGCACTTGACTCGGCTTCAAGTTTTATACATATTCCAAACACATGAAACATTTCAGGATAGTCCCACCTACACAACAGGGAATGTTATCTTATACTACATAACACAGCTATTTCAACTCAAGATGAAAAATCATGTCTGGTCTAAGCTGCTGTCCTGGTGAATTCCAATTGCCAACTTGACTGGATTTAGAGTTGCTTAGGAGACATATCTATGGGGTGGCTATGGGGGCATCTCCAGAGAAGTTTAACAGAGGAGGGAAAGTTGCTCCTAAGTGTGGTCAGTATAGTCCCCTAGGTTAATGTCTCAACTGAACAAATGGAGAAATGGAGAAAGCCATGTGGACACCAGGATTCGTGTCTGCCTGCCTTTTGACTGCATGTGCAATGTATTCAGCTGCCATGATGCCTTCCCGGGAGGCCATGATAGACTTTATCATCGGAATGTGAAACAAAGTCAACCTTCCCTTCTTACTTCGTTTTCATCATTGTATTCCCTGCCACCCCCCCCCCACCCCCCCAGCCCCCAGCAACAGCATAACTACAGTTGCTAAACTGCCCCATTAAGAAGAGGGAAAGAAAGCATGCTCCTTCAGCTCATTTTCTCTTGTGCACTGATGTTCTGTTTAGCAGAGCTGGGTTGGGGCGTTAGAGTTCCAGGGAAGAGATTTCAGGTAGCATTCCATTCCCTTTCACAGGAGAAAGAAAGAGTAATTAAAGTTAACCTTTTAAAGCTTTAAACCATGGGGATTTTATTCATTTAACAAAGGATAGCATAAGAAATTAAAAAAAATGTATTCACAACCAAAGTTAAACTCAGAATCTAAACCAACTAGCATGAGATGTACATCTCCGTTCCATGAGTAAATTTGCTACTAATGTCAGGTCAGAGAGGCTTGGACAAGGAGCTGGGAAAATGGCTCAGTTAGTAAAGCAATTGCCTTGCAAGCGTGAGGACCTGAGTTTGATTCCCAGATATCACATAAAAAAGTCTGGGCACGGTGGCGTGCATATATAATCTCAGTATTGGCGAGGTAGAGATAGATAGCAGAATCCCTTGGGTTCACTGGCCAGCCAGTCTAGCCTACTTGCTGAGCTCCAGGCCAGTGAGACACCGTTTCAAGGTGAATGACACCCGAGGAACAAGACTTCAGATCGTCTTCCGGTTTCTACATGCACATACAAACACATGCATACAACACACACACACACACACAGACATACACAAAAAGATGTGATGCACTCAACTTTTAACTTTTGGTTACCATAAAGATTTCTCTTTAAGTAAATAATTTATTGTTAATGTAAGCTTTGAGATATAATAGCCATGCCCAAAGTGTACCCAATTACAAATGTACAAAGCAATAAAATTTTGAAAAAAAAAAGGAATTTCTGTGAGACTAATATGTGTATTAAGAATCAAAACATCACAGCTATTCACGTCTACATGCATGCCTCGGTCACACCCATCTCCCCGTCACACCCATCTCCCCGTCACACCCATCTCCCTGTCACACCCATCTCCTGTCACACCCATCTCCCTGTCACACCCATCTCCCTGTCACACCCATCTCCTGTCACACCCATCTCCCTGTCACACCCATCTCCTGTCACACCCATCTCCCTGTCACACCCATCTCCCTGTCACACCCATCTCCCTCAGGGAAACCACCCATCTGGCTGCATTGCTAGGTTTGCTCATTTTCAAAGTTTATATTGGTAGAATCAGCACAAGTTCTACTTTATGACTCAACTCCTTCACTAAGTTTTGTGCTATGAGGTTCAATCCTGTTCAATTGTTATTTATTTATTTATTTTTATTAAGAAAATTTTTTCATTCATTTTTTTATACACTAATCAAAGACCCTCCTCTTCCCTCCTTCCATTCCCCCCTCCACTCCTCTCTACAAGAAGGCAAGGCCTCTCATAGGGAGGCACATCCCCTCCCCCTGCCTCAAGGCTGCATGAGGTGTTCCATCATAGGTAATGGACTCCAAAAAGCCTGCTCCTGCACTAGGGATGGAATCTAATCCTAGTGCCAGGGGGCCACCCCAAGCCCATCAGGCTACACAACTGTCTTGCCATGCAGAGGGCCTAGCCCAGTCCTCTGCAGGCTCCACAGCCATTGATCCAGCTTTCATGAGTTTGCACTAGCTTGGTTTTGTCTTCTCTGCAGGTTTCCCCATCATGATCCTGATGCACTTGCTCATAGAATCCCTCTTCTCTCTTTTTGACTGGACTCCTGGAGCTCTGCCTGGTGTTTGGTTGTGGATCTCTGCATCTGCTTCCATCAGTCACTGGAGAAAAGCTCTGTGATGACAGGGTATTCACTGATCTGGTCATTGGGGTAAGCCAGGGCAAATGAATGGAACTAGAAAATATCATCCTGAGTGGGGTAACCTGGACTCAGAAGGACAAACATGGTATGTACCCACTCATGAGTGGATACTAGATGTAAAACAAAGGATAACCAGAGAACAACCCATAGCTCCAGAAAATATAGCTAACAAGGAAGACCCAAAGAGGAATGCATGGATTGCCCTTGGAAGAAGAAATAGATGAGATCTCCATGAGCAAGATGGGGGTGAGGGGTGGGCAATGGAGGGCAGGGTATAGGGAATGAGAACATAAGGAAATGGGATGGTCAAGCTAGAACAGGGATGGAGTGGGAGAGCAATGAAAGAGATAACATGATAGAGGGAGATATCACGGGGATCGAGAAAAACCAGGTGCTAGGGGAGTTGCCAGGAATCCCCAAGGATGACCTCAGCTTAGACTACTAGAAATAGTAGAGAGGTTGCCTGAGTCCTGTTCAATTTTAAGATAAACGCTAACAACACAATGATACTTAGATAGGAGGGATGGCTACTGTACAAACATAGCAGTTTTTTTGTACATTAAGCTAACTCACACAGTTCCTACTGACTAACTTCCCATTTCAAAAAATTGTTTTGCTTTGTAATTTATTGCA